GAATATGATAACATCACATAATGGCAATATGTACAGTAGATCAACTTGACTATATGGGCATGGTAACATTTTGTTTTGTCAAAGAAAATTTCATAATTAGACAGAGTTTAAAGCCAGTGTTCAGTATCTCAAATTATATTTGACAAAACATGTGGCTTGCCTAATGCATCAATAACCATTTATATAAACTCATTACGACTGTTTGAAGTCACCGTAAACATATGGGTCTTCGGTAATTTCATCCTCTACATCTTCACGGTAAAGAACTGGCGATTGCTCTCCCCCTTTTTTGCCGTTTAAAACATCATATTGAGGGTTAATATTGTAAACATCGCCCTCTACGACAATGAAATTCGGGTTATGGTTTTTCTGTGCAGTATCACTAAGGTCTACTGGCTTCATAGTTACATAATTCGAATATTGTTTTAAAGAATTATCACCATGGCTTTGCTGATTCACTTGGGTTCTTGGTACATCTAAGAGGGAAAAAAAACCGTTATATAACATTAATTTCAAATTTCAAAATAGGCCTACGTAGTTCTAAGGTTTCTATATTCAGGTCAGGGCTAGTGTCTTTTGTTAATTAACTATTGTGTTCGCTACTATGAGTAGTGAGCATGAGCCCTCTGTCTTGTATTCAGCCTTGCAACCAGAGAAATATAGTATTGAAAATAGCCGAAATCATCTTTACCTGACTGACACATGGTATCGTATGCCTAAGCATCGACATGATAACATCACATCATACCATTATATCAAGGACTTTTAACTGTTACCAGGATAGAAAGCTGGCTGGTTTAAGCCGCCTAACTTGAATTAGCCTTATGTGTGGTATTGTTATGCTAATGAGGAGATAAGCACAATCTGCACATGCTCAGAAAAACAAAACTTCCCTTACCCACATTGCATATCGGCTAGGCGTAGAGCTAGGCCTAGCCGAAAATTACGGTACGGTAAAACAAAGCAAAATAAGGGCACTAAATTCACTTGGCATGCAAACATTGGTAACAGTTAAAAGTCCTTGATCATATAGGCACATCATGTCTACAAAATGCTGGGTGTACACTAGTTTTTTGGGTTTTTTTTGTTTTTTTCAAAGAAATTTGATAGTCTGGAAAGCGCTTAAGAACTGTTGATCAAAACAAATGCTCACTGTTGATTGAAGTCACCTCTAAATCTTCAGGATATACAGCTGGCGATTGCTCTCCTCTTTTTTCGGAGTTTAACACGTCATATTGAGGATGAAGACTCTCCTCGTTTACACGGTTTAACATGTTATATTGAGGGTCAAGACTTCCCTCTTTTTCGCGGTTTAACACGTCATATTGATGGTTAATATTCCCTTCTTCTTCAATTTGTAGCACGTCATATTGAGGATCATTTAATAGAGTTTCAGCATTCGAATTTTCAGTACCGGTAGACAAGGGCAAAATCGGAACCTCGTACTCTACGACAATGAAATTCGGGTTATGGTTCTTTTGCTCAGTGTCACTAAGGTGTACATTGTCTTCTGGTAAACAATTTTCATAGTTCGAATATTGGTTTGAAGAATTATCACAATGGTTTTGCTGGTTAACTTGCGTTGTCGGTACATCTAAGAGGAAAATAAATCAGTAATAGAACATTATTAAATTGTAAAATAGGCCTACGTAGTTCCAAGTGTGCATATGCCACGTTAGGTCGAGGCTAGAGCATTGTCTGATTAAATTTTGTTAATTAAGAGAACTTGGTTGCAGTATTCGGCACTTGTACCTTAAATAATAGCCATCGTTAAGTAAAAATGTAGTAATAGTATGCCAGTTTGATTTGATTGTTTATGTGTGTATATTACCATGATTATTATTTCTTTTCATCGTCGTCGTTTCCATTATCATCAACATCATTATTGATATGATCATTATAAACATTGGATAATATTACGATTATCAGTATTTTTAATTATTATCAATATAATTTGTATTATTATACACATTTGGCTTAGTCTCTATTAACCACCAACGAGAATTGCAGTACTAGTCAGGGTGTACTTGGCAACGTTTAAATTTTCCGAGCACGGTTTATTTAAATTAGTAATTGATTGTGGCGATCAATGTCGACCTACTAACACGATGTTGGTTACCGGATTCGAGTCACTAAACTTTTTCCTTATTAGAGAAAAATAATTTGGTACAAATGTC